GGAGACCCATCTGGGATAAATGAAATGGAAGCAGCGGGAGCTCCCTAAGAGACATCTTCAATTCAGCCCTAACATTCGGCTAAACATGTGTCTGAACTTTTAGCTACTACCTATGTTGTCAGTATGGTATCCTGTAACCGCAACATCTACTACCAGTTGCCTTATGACAGTCTTATGAATATCCCGCCGTGGCTGATGGATCTTTGCCCAAATATTTATGTTGAATTTTGGTCTGCGTCTAGATTTTGGTTTAAGCTGATTTACCCCAGGTTAACAGTTTATTCCTGAGAAAAGCAAAAAGGAACAAGTTAAAATTCGCGTCCACACTCATTGTGCCGCTATACTTCGGAAGACTGTCTTAAAATGCACTGCAACGACCCTGGTAACTCCAAACAAGTGCTTTCAATGAGTTCGAAATTAAAGTTTAAAAGTAGGAGATAAACTACTGAAAAATTTGAATGGTACATTAAAAAATAGAGCGTTTCTCTTTCTCAAAAATATAAACTCCAAAAAAATCACAAATGAGGATACACTAACGCGCCAAAGGCCTCTGAGTGTGTTGAGCATCTTGTCCGTGTTTTGAAAAACTAGCTGGCATTGGAGAACTGTTAATACGGTGCAAAAGTCGAAATATATTGGCTGTATTGCTCACGTAGATAGCGGATATTTTGGCTTCCCAAAGCAAATTAGTTCCGTGGAGGTTGATATGTGCATAAAATGCGTGAAAAGCAGCCGCATCTTAGCTTGACTCTGTACAGTAGCTGGTCCATCTTAGGAAATGTCAACTGAAATTCAGAAATGTGTCTTTAGCTAGAAGGAACCTCTGAGGTGAGGTTGTGGTATTTATAATTATCCAGCGCAATCCTAAAATATTTCAGCCACAACCATGGTTCCGGCTTTTGAATAAAATTCTTTCCGTCCGCCTTCCAAAACTGTATTCAGCATGTAACAACTTTTTGATTAGTAACAATTTTTCTCATTGATTTCCGATGACCTTATAAATTTAACTATACTTATAGAAAGCCTTCATGAAATATTTCTTATTGCGCAAAGACTGGCGAACCAGGGCCAGAAGCACCCACATACACTCGTCGCATTCACCTCAACTGCCCTCGCTGCACTCGCACATTCACCCGCCGCATGGGCCTATCAGGCCACATGCGCACTCATGAAAACCTGCGGTAGACAACCGTCGGCTAAAGCACACCATAACGTCCCCCCTCACCAGCACCCACAACACACACTAATATCATCCATCGCCAGCGTCCAGTTGTCACCTCCCACGCAAGTGTGAAGTTTGCGACTCGGATCCGTCTCCATGCGGCTCCTCTGCTATATGTGGGATACGAGTCTGAGACTGTCAAGATGCGTCCAGCATAGGAGCTTGTAAGGCTGCTGACTTACACCCAACTCAGTCCACGCAGTGTGCCCGGTTGTGTGAGTGTTTGTGTGGATTGGAAGACTGGTGAGCTGAAAGCCAGGCTGAATCGACTTAACGTGATCTACGGCACACTCAAGCATGTGAGAACTATGAAGCCTAACCCCCGTTAC